ATAATAATGTTCGCAGCTCTGTTATGGCCAGATATCAAGTTGGAAGTAGGATAGCTTGTTAAACCACAAGTATAAGGCCCCAACCTTGCAGTCCGAAACTTGTCGCCACAAGAAAACGAGGCCGAAAAACGTCAAACGCTGGACCCTCCGTTGATAAATTCAATTGGCGATTTGGCGGTGGCATTTGTGTTTAGCGCCTCCAGAATTTGAGGTGTCAGGCCCGCGGCCCAGGTGCCCATGTACTGGTGGTTTAAAGCACCAGTAAAGTACCCGTACACCACATATAGACCCGCGGGTGTCAGCATGAAACCCGCACCACTTCGGAGGCCGCCTATTTTTTTTTTCAACGGCGGGCCTGGCCGCGCGGCGCCTCCGAGTTTTGCTTGTGGCGACAAAAACTTTCTGCAAGGCTGGGGCCGCGTACTAGCAGTTTAAATCATGATAGTCGGTTGTACACATAGGCAGACTGTTGTCCGTCTTATTGTTCTCAGTTTCGTGCCAATCTTGGTCTCAGTCTGGCAGGAGCTGCAGGGGTCTTTTTTCGTGTTTTTCAAAAGGCCCAGGTTGTTGTAGAGTTGGGACACTAGACAGATGACAGTCACGCGCAGTAATCAGCCAGGGTCTTCGCCTATGGCTGGGCATGAAGTCTCAGGTTTTTGCGAAGAGCCCTGCAAGGCTGCAACTAAGTTTCGTGCCAATCTGGGCCTCAGCCTGGCGGGAGTTGCAGGGCTTTTCGCTACCCGCAATTGTATGTACCAACCCACAACGGTCCGCCGAGGTTTTTTGCGGCGGGGAAAGCGGCTGAGCGTGATAGTCTCGGTTGTACATATAGGCTGACTGCTGTGCGTCTTGCGGTCATCTGTTTCATGGCAGCCTGAGCCTGAGCCCGACCGGAGTTACAGGGCTCTTCCCCTATGATTGGTACCCACTCTTGTGAGGGATGTTGGGCCCGTTTCACAGCAATATTAATAAGACATCTTAATAATAATAATAGCAATAATAATAATGCTTTTTTTTTTCTTTTTTTTTTTCAAACATCTCTTGTAAGTGCTAGGCGGTGCTGGTAAGAACAATCACCGCTAGCACCCCAAGGAAGACTCCATCTATTGGTGGGGAGTGTCACCTGCTGGAAAACGGGCCCAGCGTCCCATTTGCATCAGTTTCTGAGATTTGTCTGAGGAGCATGAAAATGGGCCTGCCAGCATTGATTACCCTGATGCTAGGTGTAATAATAAGAATAATGTTAGGTGTTATTCCCCCTTCCAAAAGGGTAAATGACAAGGAGAAAGGTGACCGCTACTCTTGCTGGAAAAGGAAAAAAGGCAAACTGTAGCAGATAAATGACAGCTCCACAGCATGAGACATGGGAGCTTGGGCACGACAGGGACTTCTCTCCATACAGGGGCCGAGGAAAGTTGAGCCAAGTGGGAAGCTGGACCGGGTTTCCAGCAGTAGTAGCCGCCCACCAAAAGTGGGTAGAATAGGGGCATAGTATGTGGGACGGTCTCTCGAGTTCGGTTGAACGCCTTTTATTAGGGAAAAAAAAATGGGTGGGGGGGAAAGAACTGCCAACACATGGCGGGAAAACAACTGGGACCTAGAAAGTACGTAACATGTTGGGGGAAAGAGAATTGGGACCTGCAAAGTATATATAGCTCACACTCGCTCTCCAACAGGGCACTCTCGGATTCCGACATAGACACAGACTGCTTTTCAGTAGCGCAATGTGGCGAAGCTTGCACTCCTGAAGTCCTGAATGTTCCCATAAAATAGACCGGGGGGGATCTTCGCATTCAAGAGCAGTCCTGCTTACTACACGCCAAAACCTCTCAAATTTTGGGTCGAACTAGTGAGTCTGTCGGAGGCCTCCTGAGTTTCACTTGTCACAGGCTGGGGTGGGAAGGAAGTTCAAGAGTACTCTCAAACCATTTCTCAGGAGTCCAAACTGACCGCTCCCGAATTCGGTTTTAGGAGTGGGATTCGGGAGCATGTATGGCGATGCTTGCACTCCCGAAAACGCCGCATTCGGGAGTGGTGTGTCGAGGCCCATAGTGTCTCCCTCCACGCCTCTGCATTCTATGTTTTTGGAGAGTGTGGCTCCACTCCACGAACTCTCCATTTGAAACCCAGAAAAGAGGATGGAGAGTTGTCAGAAAGTTTCCTTCCAGTGGACTAGCCTGCACGCTCTTCAAAACGGGCAAACTCTCGACCAGCCTCCTTTTTAGGGAGTCCACTGCAGATTGGGACCCAGCTGATACTTTTTCTTTTTGTCATTATATGCTCATAAGTGCAGGAAGTAGAAAAAGAAAAGAACGGAGAGTAGGTCAAGTGTGCAAGAATAGAGAGTTGGTGGAGCGAGGGCTGCGGAATCCCGTTTTTCTCCGTTCTGACAACTCTCCATTCAGTCTCCAAAATTGAGTTGCATGGAGAGTAGCGAAGTGAGACCCATAGTACCCTTTTTGAGAGGTGAGACGGATGCTCTTCTGTCTCAATGATGGATTGTTAGGTGTTATTTGGCTAAGGCCCGGACCCCACAGGAATGCGGAAAGGAAAAACTTTGTCGCGGAAGTGTTTGCGGGACCCCACACCTCGCGGAAAAGTTAATGGAAGGGCCAAAATGTCTTCCAAAAACCATATTCCGGGACCCCACAGCCCACATTTCATGGCCTGGAAGATCGCCTGTGGACGTTTTCACATGGTCCACAGTCCGGAAAACAGCGAGCGGAGGAAATGACGCTGCAAATTTGTGCTGAAAGCTGAGGTTGGCCCCCAGAGCCGTCTTGAATTTTTCCAAAACCAGGTCCCGTGGACGAACCACGGATTGTCCGCACCAATGGCACTTGACACCCCCACAGGCCTTCGAACCCGTTTCGTGCCGGACCGGGTCCCGCACGTGCCGCACCGCATCACCCACATCCACGGGCACGGCCATTTCCTGAGGTCCAGCCACGGCCCCTTGGACATCAACCACTTTCCTTTTTCGGACTTCACCCACGAAACTTTCCTTTTACAGAAGAAAAATTGCCACTTTGCCGCAATACGCACTCCGCGGTGGGGTCCTGGAGAAACACTTTTCCAACTTTCCAAAACAACCTGCCCGCTTTCTGTGGCCACATGTCTTTTCCAGCCGCACCGCAGTGGGGTCCACCCCTAAGTATTGGAGAGAGACACGTTGATCTGACTGTCGTGTTGTTGTTTCCGGTCAGGGAGGAACAGGGGCAGGGCTCCATTTTCAGACTATCATGCCTGGGGGGAGTCTGTCGCCCAGGGGACCCATGCATGACAAAAAGTCGGGTCTTTTTCTTTCCCTTTGGCAGTGGGGGTTTTCTGCACAGACCGGAGGAGCCCAGATCCGAGCTCATTTCAATTTTTGAGTGTTGGCTGTCAAGGGCGGGGAAGAGGGGGTTCAAACCACCAGTTCACACAAAGCTCCAGTTCACACAAAGCTAAATTGACCATCCAAAAGTTGCACGTTTCCAAGCCTGACTGCTACAGTAAGGGGCTCGCCACACAGGCTTTCGAAACGCGCAAAATCGACGCCGTGTCTTCGCCGCACAGCCTTTTGAAACAAGTTCTTTCGAAAAAGTTTCGAAAGGTGTCAGATTGACCGGCGTCGAAAGTCATTTCCAAGAGATGAGATCCTCCCGCCTGTCGCGAGCGTTTCCTCGAAAGACCTCGAGTGGTCTTGTGAAAAGGGCCACTCGAAACGGTTCATTGGCAAGACAAAAAAGAAAAAAAAAGGGGCGATTACAAGGGCCTGGCTCCACTACTCTGGACATGCACAAAAGACAAATTATGGTGGTGTATCTTTCCATGTTCTAGCCAAAGATTCACACTCTCGTTTTACACGCGTAGAGAGCAGTGGACCCAGGCCCTAATGTGCATATAGAAAGGCTTCTGTGTTTCTGAAGTCTGTGTGGCGAGGGGGTTTTTTTCTTTCGACGAGCAGCCTTTCGGAAAAGGCCTTCATTCGAAAGGCTGTGTGGCGAGCCCCTAACAGGCTGAAAAGAAAAATCTCGGGGTGCTGGTACCAGCCTACCATGAAACTCAAGTGCTCTACCTCGTGCCAACAGACGGGAATGGAAAAGACGAGAGAAAACAAAAAAAAACAAAAAAAAACAAAAAAAAACAAAAAAAAACAAAAAAAAACAAAAAAAAACAAAAAAAAACAAAAAAAAACCTAAATCCAGATCAATGATGAGCAAAGGTCGTTGCTGTTTCATGAAAGAAACAGAAAAGAGAGGGATGCCATCTGACCTAGGGCATACTCACAATAGTACTGTCGAGAATGTATCTGACGACTATCATGGCCAAATCCTTTTTTTTTTTTTTTTTTTTTTGGTTTAAACAACCCAAGTGAATGCTAGGAGTGCTGATGAGAGCAGACACCTCTAGCATGCTCGGGGAGGCTCCATCTATTGGTGGGGAACACCTGCTAGAAAATGGGTCCAGCGTCCCTGTAAACAAGCAAAGGTCATATACACATGCCACGTGTTCATCCTACTAGAATCCTGAGTGGTTAATGAGCCGACACGTAGGCACGCACCGTTTAGTTCGATGAGCAGGCTAGATTGCCCTCAACCGAGGGAATTAACTACCCATCACTATTTAATGACATATCCCTACTCAGAACCCTCGTTGTATACTACAAAACTCTTACTTCGCCATGAGGGGAAGAGGTAATCAGAGTAGGGAGGAAGAAATTCATAGGGCAAAGGTCATATACACATGCCACGTGTTCATCCTACTATAATCCTGAGTGGTTAATGAGCCGACACGTAGGCACACACCGTTTAGTCCGATGAGCACGCTCGATTGCCCTCAACCGAGGTAATTAACTGCCCGTCACTATCCAATGACATATCCCTGCTCAGAACCCTCGTTATATACTAACAAACGCTTACTTCGCCATGAGGGGAAGAGATAATCAGAGTAGGGAGGGAGAAATTCATAGGGAATCAGCCACGTCTCATAACAGTAGTGAATCGCATGGGGTACCCTACCACATGGCGAATTTATTGCAAAGGAAAGGTTGCAAGCACTGAAGTGACAATCCCCATGCGGCAGGGCACCAACAGCCCCGATCCAATCCTCACAGCCCCATTTGCCCCACCATGTGCCCAAACCCATATTAGTTGATTCGCAACGAATTGAGATCGACAATTACGTATGACAAATTGAGATCACCAAAATATGCGTGACAAATCGATGATACTATCTGGCATTCGCTAACCTACCCCTTCGTGCCACCATCTCACTCCTCGCACCCCCACACAACCTTCCTGTTTACTAATCACTCCATTCCGCCGACCAACTCGCACATCCCCCCAATCAAAATATAACGAATCCCCAGTCACACTTGCCACTTCTTAAGTATCATCGTTGTTATTGTTGTTGTTGTTGTTGACACCGACAGCATCGTTACGTTTACTGTCGCTGTTGTTGTAGGTACTTCTCCCCAACGCACACGAGCGTGGAACCCCTCCTTCCATGCCACCGTCGTGCACAGTCTTCTCATTGTCGGTGTAGTCGTTGATATCAATATCGGTGGTCTGTGCAGTTGTCAGCATCGTAATAACAGTCCTGTCGTTGTCGTTGTTGTTGTTGTGATTGTTGTTGTTGTTGGTGGTGGTGGTGGTGGTGGTGTAGGCGAGATCATTATGGTTGTTGATGTCGGTCTTAGTAGCGTCGTCAGCGATGGGGTCGATGCCTTGAACGCCATCTTCAATATCGTCATCATCTTCGCAGCATAGGTCCTCCAGCTCAGCACAAAGAGCTTGCCCCTCCTCAAGCTCCATATAGTAGCACTGCATCAAGCCTCGCAATCGTGGCAGATCTATGCTTACTTCCAGATGGGGGGACGACCCCTCCTCCAGTCCCCATGTGATCTCCATCAGGCATCGCTGCATATCCCGGATCCACGAAAGCGACGACACGATCCTTTCGGCCGCCGCCGATCACAACTTCTCCACCAGCTGACTTAAAAGCGAGCTGGCGATTTGGACTGTAAAAAGCCATGCGGTTGCACCCGTCCGCGGTTCACACAGATTCGCCATTGCCAACCGACACTCAGCTCTCACCCCTGTTGTGGTTGGTACAATCGCCCGGAAAAGAACGCGCGCACTCTTCTATGTTGTCTTTCAGCATTCGCGCCGACGTGCCGTCTCCTAAGTTGCACGTTACTTTCTTCTATCACGTTCTATGATAATAAATAAAGAATGTGGAGGGCTCCTATGCACTTGTGTTCAAACATGCGGAGAGGAGGACCAACACCAGTGCATGGTTCGTTTCGTTTGCGGACGTGCCACCGAGATTCGAGCTCTTCACCTGCTTGCTAACAAACGTGCAACGACGAAAATGCCGCCCCATTGAAAAACTGACTTGCTAGGCGCCTTGCTGGGCCCGGGGACTTTCTCAGCACATGGATCAGGTCTTGCATTGGAGCATTGCTCGAGACCCGCCATTTGCTTAAATAGAGTAAGGGATAGTTTCTTATTGATTAGCATATTACTCATATGAATCTTACTTTATTGAATTTGATTACATATGACATGGCTACGATCCGGACGTCCGAACCGCCGTCCAGACGGTTTGGATTCAGTCCGGACTCCAGACGTCCGGTCCGGGAGGTCCGGATCGCTAAATTAAAAAAAGAAAAAAAGGTCCCAGGATCCTTTCCCACTAAGGAGTCGAGCTCCCAAAATTGTTTTTGCGGTTTTTCAGGCCCGTTTTTGTTTTTTCGGGGGTTCCGGACATGGTCCATCCCAGGGTGGCTGTCGTTCGGGATGGGCCAAACGCCCGAACGTACGGGACCCCTTGGGGATGCGTTCGATCGTTTGGGTCGAATTTCGACCCAAAAAAAAGAAAGAAAAAAAATCTGAAAAATATGAAAAAAACATATGTTATTGCAGAAAGATAAAATAACTAACATTTGCCTAAGCATTACATCCAAATTCCTTACCAAATTTGAAAAAATAAAATACAGAAAATAAATACTAATAAGAAAAAAAAGAAAAAGAAAAAAAAGAGAAATTAGAGAATTAAAATTAGTGAGTGCGCAAGCCCGTTTCCGACACCGCCATCTTTGGCGATTTTTTTTTTTTTTTTTTTGGCATAGCTAAATGCCCTGAAAAATAAAAAACTCATGAAAAACGTTTCAAAAAATAATAAAATTGTTTAGGCCCCAAAAATAAAGTATGAAACAAAAAGTAAAAAGTGGAAAAAAAAAAAAAAGTTAGTGGGCGAGCACATTTTGACACTTCCATCTTTGGAGATTTTTCATTTTTTTTTTGGCTTAGCTAAATGACTTGCAAATTTATAGGCATGTACCTAACATCATAGAAAACGCACAAAGAAAAATTCAGAAAAAAAACGTTATTTTTAGGTGTCGAAATAATTTTTGGCGGGGCAGAACCCATTCAGGTTCGGACCCCGAACGCCCGAACGTACGGAGGTCAGCCCGGGGGCCTCCGTACGTACGGGCTGGTAACCCTGGTCTATCCTATTATAATTTATTAGGCATACCCATTTTTTCAATTATAAATAATTAACTACTTTTTTTAAGTTTTTAATAGTTTTTTACTTTTAACTCAAATTTGGTTAGGAATTCTGACTTGACTCTGAGGCAAAAGTGGTTTGTATTGTTATTTTGCATAACATACTTTTTTTTCTCAATGGTCTGGACATTTTCGGACCTGGTTAACGTCCAGAACGATACATGTCCGGAGGTCCGGATGTGGTCGGAGGTCCGAACGTTTAGACCCGACCGGACATAAGATGTTCGGGTCCGGGTCCGGTGTAGCCATGATATATGATCTAATTTGAAATTTCATTGAAAAATGTAGTTACTATAAATACTAGATATTAGATATTGACAACATATCATACTTGCAAGCGCATCTTGTGCGGGCGGTTCCCGAAGTGTGGCACACTAGCCCAACCGATCCCGTGCGGCGCACGACGTGTGCGGGGAACGACCCGTCACCCTTCTTCGAAAAAAAAAAAAAAAAAGGTCAGGGGCCGAAACGGTGCATTCGAGGCCCCCCGCCAAAATTATAAGTGGGATGAAAAAAAAAAATTGCAGGAGTGCTGCCTCACCTCGCTCCTCCTCCCCTTCCTCATCCTCCATGTCTCCTCCTCCCTTCTCCTTTTCGTCTCCTGTGGGATCCTTTTAGCGAATTTTGCGGCCCTATTGCGTAGTATTCCACTAATGCATCAGAGGTTTTGACCACATGGATTCTGCCAATCCCAGTCTGGTCCCCTATAACCCCAATCTAGTCTCCTTCCTGTAGTGTGGGTCCCAGCCTGAGTAGCCTTTACCAGTCCAACGGGATAGCACCAATAATTATATCCAGGTGTTGGTCAATGTGGTAGCAGTATCAAAGAGTATTGCGAAGTTGGGCAAACGTCTTTCAGTTGTTTCTATGTTGATCCCATAGATGTCCAACCTGAAGCACCCTGTGTTTAACCCATCCTTTGCGTAGTGGGGCTGAGCTGCACAGTACCTGTCCCTGATGGGGTGTGATCCGCCGGTTCCTGAAGAGTGGTTGACGAAAGACTTTTGCCCATCGGTCAGGGGCAGGTTTGTCCGGGGTGGAAACCCTCGCCAACTTTTTAAGAGGGACGACCATAAGCTGTCCACCGTTTGGCCCTGAATCTTCCTAGGTATCGACCAATTGCAGTCCTCCAACCACGTAAGAGGGTGCACCTCTTAGGTGGTCGGGGGTGCTAGCCGGGCTACATGCTCTAAAGCCAAGGCCTGCCAAGGGGAGGAAGGGGGGAAGGATTAGCTTCTTAACCCGTTGGAGACGGAGGGCCTGTACTTGGGTCTGCAGGTCGATAATGCCCAGGCCTCCCCCCTTTTTTGGTTGAATTACCGACTCCCACACTACCCGACTGATCATCATCTCCTCTCCATAAAAAGGCCGCAACCTTGGATCTCAGGGCCTGCAGAGCAGTCTTTCTCAGTGACCAGAGCACCGATTTATACCACATTGTTGATGACGAGAGCTCGGCCAAAGATGGAGGTGTGCTTGCGCCGCGAATTGGTTAGTTTGGTGAGGGCCGGTGCGCTGATCCAGTTGTCATTCGATGGAGGGCGTCCCTAGTTAGACATTGAGATTCTAAGGATACGAACCGGGGCCTCTAGTGGAAGCCAATGCACTTAGGGGCATCACGGGGTCTCCCCCCTTGATAGTGGATCCATCACCCTTGGGTCTTGCTGCCCCAGTTCACCACCATATCCGAGACGCTTGCAAATTTGTCCATTAGTCGCTTAACTTTCTCTATATGCTCCTTCGTTGCCTCTATCATTACCATCATATCGTCTGCAAATAAGGAACACACCGGAATGACCTCTTCCAGGATGTGGGTTATTCGTATTCTAGTAATGTCCTTGTTGGCCCGCAGGTTTGTGGATAGTGCTTCCATGATGACCAAGAAAAGAAAGGGCGTAATGGGGTCACCTTGCCGCACCGATCTCTCTAGTGGAATCGGGGGTGCAAGAAACGACCCATTGACCTGCACCCTTATGGTGGCGTTTCAGTGCATAATACTCGCCCACCGACGAAAAGAAGGTTCAAAATTCATCTTTTCCAGACGCTTGTCCAGGAACAACCAGTCCACATGGTCGTAGCCTTTTCAAAGTCTATAAAGATAAAGGCTGCATTCTGTTTGGATTGGCGGGTGAGTTGTACCAATTCATGGACAAGGAGAATATTTTCCTGAATAAACCCAGTCTGTGTCAAGTGGATTACCTCTTCCAAGACCGGGATCATCCGGTTTGCCATCTCGTTAGCCAACATCTTGTATGTGACAGTCAAGAGGGTGATTGGGTGGTAGTTTCAAATGTTAAGTTTGTCCCCCTTCTTATATAGGAGGGACAACACTCCTTGCCCCACTAGGTCTCCCATACAGCCCGTGCGCCATACCTCGTTATAATAGTCCATGAGGTCCGGGCTCAAACCATCCCACATTTCTTCCCAAAATTCCTTGGGGAAACCATCCAGTCTCGGGGTTTTCGTCTCATCCATCTGCAGCAGGGCCGTCCAGATCTCATCCTTGGCGAGGGGGCCCAAGATGCGGTTTCTTTGTTCTAGGGAGAGGGTTCTAGTCATTGGGAGGAGAAACTCCTCAATCTGTTGCAGCCTAGCGCCCTCGTCTGTTGGGGGGATGTGGGATGCAAAAAGGTCTTTGAAGAAATCGCGGGCTATCTTCATACAGCCTGCTGTAGTAAGGATGGGGGGCCCCTCTGGCCGTGTGGGGTCATATAGGGCCTCCATCACTGTGCGTTTGGTCCTGGCATGGGCAATGCCAAAAAAATGGGTGTCCATTGTGCCTTCAGTGGAGTGCTTAGACAACTTACCTCTGATCCTGGCGCCTTGCCAGCGGTATTGTGCTAAATGGAGGTGGTTTTCTCTTACGTCAGTGATGGTCTGTGTGTGCTTTTCCGGCATCTGCAGGTTGTGCTGCTGTTCTAGCTCTTGAAGCTGAGTCATTAGATCAATTTCCTGTTGGTATCGTTGTCTGGCTAGTTCCTGTCATACGCCCCCCTGTCCCCCCTCCTAAAAAAATAAAAATAATAATAATAAAAAATGAAGGAGAGTACTGTGGCACGTGTACTTAGGAGGAGGGCCCTAGAAGCCGCCCTACATTTCTCAGGGCATATGCACACTAGGACATGATTCTAGTCAGATTCATCCAGGTCCGGCCGTAATTGCAGTCAGATACGTTCAGGAAAGTGCTAGTGTCAGTATGCCCTGAGATTACCATGCTAGCCACCTTAGACTCTCGAATGCGCACACCAATAGCAGTGGCAAGGTCCCCCACACTTGCACATATTACAAGATCCGCACAGAGCATAGATAACGAGGGGATCAGCGGCGACGATGTCTTAGTCCATGCCAGTGGGACTTTGCCCCAGGGATCCCCTACCGTCTCTCTCTCTCTCTCTCTCTCTCTCTCTCTCTCTCTCTCTCTCTCTCTCTCTCTCTCTCT